CGAAAACTCTGGTCCCTAATTTTGGAATCAGTGCGCGTCACTGGTCTGCCAATTCCTGCTACAACTTGCTCTACTAACTGGCCACCTCGACACGACTAGCGTTCCTCTTCTCCTCAATAGCTTGTGCGGTGTTCCGGCTCATCGTTTTATTGAAGTGAAGCTTTTGCTGGGAGTAAAATGCTGGCACCCTTCGCTGTCTTGCGCTGTTGCAGTCAAAGACCATGTGAGGACATTTCACAGAACCAGCCTAAGTACTGTAAGGTGACAAAAGTCAAAGTCGATGTCCTTTTGACTGCAAAGCATAATGTAACACAAGGCTTAAATACCAAAAACGCTTGAATTACAACGCGAAATGCATCACTTGCATGCACTGAATGGACGAAATGCATCACTTGCATGCACTGAATGTAATATAGGCGAGGGATCTACATCAAAATTAAACAAAACGAGGAAGGGGTCCGCGAACGTAAGGGATCATCGACTCTAAAAATTCTTTTCGTGCCCCTTCTCGATTCGTCTTCGCACATCTCCACCGGTCAACATTCCAAATAATGCCATATTGCGACCTCGTACAATCTAAAAAGAAAAAATTTCAGGGTTTCTTTCGCCGGTCCGTCCAGAAAAATATACAGTACACTTGCCAAAAAAATAGGAATTGTGTGGTGAATCAAATGAGTCGGAACAGATGCCAAAAATGTCGCTACGAAAAATGCATAACAGTTGGTATGGACAAAAGTGCAGTGCGCGAGAATCGAGGCCGACGACGAAAGAAAGACGCAGATAAGTAAGCAGTTACACATCTCCTTTCAACAAAGAAATCGCGAGTATTTTTACATTTGTAATGTCTGGGCGATTTGTAGAACTGTCAGACCTTTTCAGCTTTCACAATCCTCCAGCATAGCCAAAAATGTGGGCACACTGGAAAAGTAGCGACGCCTGGACGAGCAGTAAACGAGATGGTGGGCATGCCCGGTGGGAAAGGTACGTAGCAAGCAAAGTGAATCGATCTTAAAAAGATTACCTGACATAACTGATTTGTGTTGTCCCTTGTACTGCTAGTGGTTTTAATCAATGGTGGGATGGAGTTTAGTCATAATTTATTAGCAGTAGGCAGACCAGGAGGAGTGAAAAACAAAATCTGAGAGTCAAGAAACAAAATTTGTTTGCATTGCAGCAGTACTACTGTTTTGAAAAATATGAAGGTTAGGACGAGCTCTAGTTCCTGAAAATAAAGTACCCTGCTGTACAGGAAGCTGAAGATGTGGTTACACAGTTTGGGA